TAAGACTCTTGGGCCAGATAATATTTCCCCAAAGGTTTTGAAAGACATTAAAGATTGGATATGTAAGCCACTTGCTTCTATTTTTTGTCAGTCCTTGAATAGTGGGCAGGTACCAGAGGATTGGAAGTTAGCTAATGTGACTCCTCTTTTCATGGGAGATGATAAAAATTTTACCAGTAATTATAGACCCATTAGTCTTACATCAGTTGCAGGAAAAGTTTGGGAAAGTTTGACAAATAATGCTTTGCAAAGTCATTTAACAAAGTTTAGAATTTTATTGTACTGTTAATATGGTTTCACTAAGGTAAAATCTTGCCTTACAAATCTTTTGATATTATTTGAAAAGATTACTACTTATGTAGATGGGAGTAAGAGTGTAGATTTGGTGTATCTGGATTTTCAGAAAGCATCTGACAAGGTGTCACATAAAAGGCTTGTAAAAAAAATTATCTTGGTGTAACAGTTGATCAGTCTCTTAAGCCATCCAAACAGTGTGCTGTTGCTAGTGGTAGAACAAATATGATTTTAGTTTGTATCTACAGAAATACTGAATACAAGACTAAAGAGGTTATAATTTCATTGTATAGGTTATTGGTTAGGCCACTAATTTTAAATACTGTGTTCATTCTTGGGCTCCTTATATTAAGAAAGACATTAAGTTGTTGGAAAGGGTTCAGAGAAGGGTTACTAAAGTGGTGCCAGGGATGGAGGAGTAGTCATAGGAGGAGACATTGAAATCTCTCAAATTGTTTTCTCTTGGAAAAAGAAGTTAGGGGGGATCTGATTGAGGTGTATAAGATTATAAAGCGAATTGATAGTGTTGATGCTTTACCTTTTTCATACTTAACAGAGAGAATAGTAGGACTAGGGGACACAAATATAAAATTTGGCAGGGTAGGAGTCATCTTCAGCTAAGAAAGTTTTATTTTTCTAACATGGTGGTTGGCCTTTGGAATGTGTTGCCTATGGATGTTGTGGAGGCAGTAAATTTAAGTGAGTTTAAGAGAAAGCTTGGTAAGTATATGAAGGATAAGGGGTGGCTTTATGATTTTTTAAAAATTTATTTATTAATAGTTTTAGTTTAGTTTAGAGAATGGAACAGCCAAGATGGACCAACAGGTCCCATGTTGTTCCCAAATGTTATGTTATACATTTTACTGAGTTTTCAGTATCAGTCCAATTTAAACTTTTACCAAACCTTAGTTTTGTGGTGTAAAATTCCTGAGATAGCAAAGTATGAGGGCTTATGAAGCCTACTAAATGTGATATCATACTAGATTGCAGACATTTTACATTTTATCTATCTTATGTAACCCACTATGGATTTCAAAACCTTTTTTTCTACTTTTCAGAATAAAAAATTTTAATGAAAATACTTAAGACAAAATTGATAAGTTTTTGCAATCAAACATGATTTTTATCACAACCTTTCTTAGACATTCTTGACAAATTGATAGACACTCTGGATTTTCCCACATTAATCTTAAAAAAAAAAAAAAAAGAAGAATTACAGGTAATCTTTCATATGCATCTGGCAAGTGCAGATATCATTTTAATAAAACCATATTACTTGAACAGCTAAAATATTACAGAATTTATTAATTTTTTTAATGAAAGGTAGGGATGCCTAAAAACAAGTGTGTGCGGCTAAATAAACAAATAATATCACTATTACATATAATATTTAATAAACAGTCACATACATTTTTGTTTCTTCATTTCAAGAGCGATTCTTCTGTTAATTCTATATGCAGATGTCACACAACTTCACAAATCTCCCAAATTTTATTCTATTTTTGAATCTGGTAAATTCTCTGTAACAAAGAACAAAACCCATATTAAAAAAAACAAATTGCTGATTTGTATATTAATTTTATAGATCTTGCTCTAAGGAATTGTATTATGAGATAAGTTGGCATTCCTGAATTAATTTTAAAATTATTAAGAACTTCAACTAAAACCTAAACCAACAACATGATTAGTACTAAAAAACATATGTATTAATATAAAGCAATCCAGTATAACAAAACTAAAACCTCGAAAGATAAGAATACATTAAATCATTAGTTGAATATTCTGTTAATATTCTTAGCTGTAAACCCAATAAATCTCAATCTCCAAAAGGTTAGATTGCTTAGGAGATTTAGTCATAAATACACACATTAAATTAACACTACAAGACTATCTTCATAAGTGTGATTATAATTCACAACATTAATCAAAATTTACTTTAAGCATTGTAACTAAAATGTCTGAATGATACTACCTTACAAAATGTATGAATAGAGCATGTAACACATAAGAATTGTATTAGTAGCATGGTAAATATGTAAATTATATCTGAGTCTAATACTTCAGTTCATTAAGAAATGGTGGTGTAAACATTTTTTAAATAAGGGCATAATAATTATTAAGTTGTTTATCATTACACATTATCTGTTGACATGATGTGTGTGTGTGTGTGTGTGTGTGTGTGTGTGTATGATGTAATGTAAGTAAGCAAACAAGTCTAATGTCAATTAGGTCTATCTAACTTTTCTTTAAGTTTAAATAATGAAGCATCTGTTGAAAATGATAGTTTTATTGATTTTTTAATATGAGTACAACTATTTGAACTAAAGTTCTCGGTAGCCATGACTAATACTATTACTAATAGTAGATTATATATTTAAGTTCAGATCAAATTCAAATTATTAACTAGATCAATTTCTGAACAGAATAATATATAAACGTAAATTTCTTTCACATTTTATAGTGTCTATCGATGTTAGCTGTTACCATACTGACAGTGTCACTATCATCAATGAAACTGACTAGAGATTGAGTAGAGAACTCATTAACACTACTAGTATTAGTAGTTGACTCACTTAGAAATACCCAAATAAAAGTATAAGCCTAGACTAAACTTAACTAAAATTTTAAATTTGATGGCAAAGATGTGGTTGCGTGGAAACATGCGTAAAACATTAGAATTAGAAAATACCTAACATTAACAATAACACAGAAGTAGCATTAAAGTAATTACTTAACGAATTTTCTAAATATATTTAATTATAACAATACCAACTTCGTTCATAACGCACTTGTAGATTTTACAACCAGTCTAACTCTAAGGTCACACTTTATTAACGTTTAACAAGAGGAATGAAATTTAGCTTGTTTTACTTTTAGGCCTAACTTCACAAATTACGAGCCAGGCTACTACTACTAGTTCACCAAGCAAATTGTAAAAAGTACGTTGAACTAAAACTTGTTATATGTTTACATCAATTTTCATATAAAATTATCACCTTAGTAAAACTGAATAAACTAATATTGTAATAACTTAATACTCTAATCTCAACTACCTTCTCAAGCTCTGACAATAGTACAATATTCAATGTAAAACTATTACCACAAAACAAGATACAAAGCGAAACGTAACGTTAGAGTAAAACGAAGTAAAATGTCTAAAAACTTACGTTGTGCCATCTAATGTCAACTTTCATTAAAACTTAATATAAATTCTAACGTTCTAACCAGGTAGCTTTAAAAATTAAATGTAAAATATTTATATTCAGTTTCGAGCTCAGATAAGTATAGTTTGCGTGGAACTGAAATAACTTTTAAAAGTATTAAAAAAAATATTTCTATGCTCTTCTGAACAGTTCATGAATTATGGTGGATATTTATACAAATTTTAGCAAAATTTGGTGTGCTGGACGTTACATCGCCTATCTTATGGATTACTTATTGCTAAGTTTGAAGCTCTCAATATAATTATGTCAACGTTATTATATATTTGAGACAACAGTATAACATCATCTCTCTTTCCACGTGTGGAAGTGGTATCCAAGGGTTTAACCTTTATTTAAGTTTAATATTACGTTCTATTTACATAATGATTGCCTCTGCCTTCGTTCTTAATGAAGGCAGGTCCATCTATTGAAAGCACTATGGTTTTATCGTGTTTTTTCAGAATTTGATTAGACAACTTTTTCTTATCCTGTATTTTTTTTTTTTTACTATAATAGCTATAAATTCAATATTCGCATTTTTTAGTTTATTATAATATTGATTAGTAGTGAGTGGCTGAAATATAGGTACAAGGAATTTAGCAAGTTTGTAACCAGGTGTGCCTATTGTAGAAAGAATGGGTCGGAGGGGGAACCTGTTTTATGAATTTTGGGAAGGCCCGTATAACATACCAGGACGGGAGCCAGTGGGATAAAGCGAAGAAGCAATATTTTCAGATAA